TATACTAGACACCATATTAAACACTTTACAAATATTGTCTCATTTGATTCTAGTATTTTAACTCATTCCCTTCAACTCATTGGTTGAGGTGGGGGAGTTACCATACTTCTTATTCCCCATTGCTACTCTGAGGTTCTTCCCCTACCTCCATTACTCCCTATCTTTTCCTCCTTTGAGGTTCATGTAGTTCATATCTACTACTCTCCCTCAAACACCCTAAACACTCACTTCCTCAGCCTACTCACCTCCCATGAGCAACTGCTCCACCCCACTTCAACCACACACAAAGATAGTCATAGCCTTGATCTTGTCATCACCCACAAACACACCAATCTCCATGTTCAAGAATTCCAAAATCCACTTATCTCACCATACTCCACTGGATTTCGAGTCTTCCCTTTGATTTCCCTTACCAAAACATGTTCTTTGTTTTCACCATGACTTTCAATCACTTGACCCCCTCAGTTCTCTCTCCCAGGTCATCATCCTTGAACTAGTCAGTTTTTCCTCTTTTCTCCATCTTGACTTTTTGGTGAAACAGTTCATCCTGTACATCATCCTCTTCTCTTGAGTCTCTAACCCTATCATCATATCTTTGATTGTATTTTGCCAAACCTCAGCCTTGGATCACTTCCATCATCTGCCACTTTTGTGCCTATACACATGCTGCTGAACAAAAGTGGAGAAAATCATGCAACTGTTCTGATTAGGTCCAGTAAAAATTTATACACAACTTCAACTGGGTCCTCACTGATGCTAAGAAATACTATTACACCTTCCTTATCAACTCACTATTTTTTTTTCTGCAGCTGTTCTTCTAAACCTTTTCATCCCTACTCAAACATACCATGCCTCCTCCTACCCCCTCCCTGTCAGTTGAGAATCTTTCTTCATATTTTACAGGAAAAAGAAAGACTATCTACCGAGAAAGCCTTTTTCTACCCTCTTCTTCATTTCATATCACTCATATGCCTTCTGCCACTATCTCCTTCTTCACCTGTATCTCACATGAGTTGGCCTTACTCAAGGCTACCCTTACAAAGGCTAATCCCTCTATCTGTACAAGTGATCCCATTCAATCCTATCTCCTACAACCAACTGCCCTCTCTATCACCAGATGGTGATAACTTATTTTCAATTTTTCCCTATCTACTAGTTGCTTCCCTAATGACTACAAACTTACCCATCCATCCTCATCCACTTAGAAGACAGCTAATGCAAAGTCTCAGAAAATAAAGTTTCATGTGCAAAGGACAGCAACTAAGTTACCATTGTTAGATCTTGGAGTGCATGTAGGGGAACAATGTATAAAAAGACTATGGAGTTAAGGAGGGAGCAGGTTATGAAGAGCCTTAAATGCAAAACAAAAGACTTTATTTGATTCTGATGGTAATACAGAGCAATGAACCTCTCTATTGCCCTTTGGGACTTTCTTAAATTTAATGCTTCTGAAAATGTTATACCATGACTCATTGCTCTATATTCATTGTTAACCACAATAAATATCATTGTTAAAAAGATGGGCTCTCATTCAAGATTGGGGTCAGCACTGTATAATTTCCTATGATTGTTCAGTTTTGGACCCAGTTCATTGTGTATTTGCAACAGATATTCACAATGAATCCATTATTTAAAAAATAAATATTGAATACCTATTGGATATGGAATGAGTAAACTCTGACAAGGAGAATGTAAACTTTCAAAATAAGCAGTCTGTTATTGATGACAAACTACTGTGAGCTTGCACCACTTTACTGAAGCCCTCAAACATATATAATAATTCAGCCCATTTAGTTAGTATTTTTTTAGCGGTTTGGCTTTCATAAAGGGAGAGAGAAGTTCAAAAAGTTATCTTTACATTAGTTAATGTAGAAAAACCAAATGATACCTATTTACCCATTCATTTAATAAAAGGAATTATTATTAATTTCATTTATGTACTCTGTAACATATTTCTTAAGAAAATATTTCTGTGCATATTTCTATATTTCTTAAGAAATATAGCTTACATATAAATTTTGACCTCTGAAATCTTGCTAGATATCTTGGGGTTTATGGGCTAAATTTGTTTTTTAAGGAACATGCCTTAAATCTGAATCACTCTGGTCCTCATTGATTGGTCAGTAATAGGTGCCAGCGTAAGCCTTACTGGGTTATTATTTAGGTTCTCGTGGCTCAGAGTGTGTATAAATAACACTTCCTTTGGTTTTGGCCAGGATCCCTGAGGGTCTTCACCTCCCAGATTGATTATTTTTGTTTTGTTTTGTTTTGGTTTTGACTGTATGAAAGAGGCCACTTTTTGCCTCATTTCTTACCTAGCCTTCATCATTGAATGGGCATTGCCTCAGTCAACCTGAGACCTGTTGTAAAGACCTTAGCTTAAAAAGGCCAAGGTCTCCCACTGCATCCAGGGCCATCTCTAGTCATCCTGATGTATATCTTGCTACTGGACCCAGGTGGCTCCAGAGGAGATAGTGAGGCTGGTGATTTTTCATAGCCCTCCCTCACTTAAATCCAATTTACTTGTAAATCACGCATCATCTTCCTGATATCATGGTCCTCTTTGAGAATAAAGGAAAACAACAAAAATCCCTAGCTCTAAGCATTAGTAGGCACATAATAAATGTTTATTGACTGACTATCTTCACAACAAACCTAGGGGTTTGGTATTATTATTAACCCCACTTTACAGCTGAAGAAATTGAGTCAGGCAGAGGTTAAATAACTTATCCAGGGTCACACAGCTAGTATATGTCTGACACTGTATTTGAACTTAAGTAATCCTGAAATTCTACCTACTGTTGCTACCTAGATGCCTATAGTATATGTACTAGAGAGTAATGGTTATAGGAGGATGGTTATAAACCATAGATACACCTGGTCCTCATTTGAATTCCTCTTATTATACCCTGGGATGATACTTAGCTTCCCTCAATGAAGAGGTTTTGATATTCTCTAATACAGAAATCTTTCCAATATATCTTCTCTAATTAGTCATTTTAGTGGTTTGTGGGCTTAAAATTTCATTTTTGTGTTCAATCATTCCATTGTGATAATTCTACCTACCTCCTACTCCCAGCAGATTGATATAAATGTTTTCTTTTTCTTTAGTTCAATTGCTGTTTAAATGTGAAAACTAAATGTTAAAAAGTGAATTATATTTGACTTGGTTAGAAATTCTAATTATCTAGTGTATGGGCCTACTGTCAGCCAACTGTGTAAGAGTTTATTTTCACTATTATCAGATGCTACAGGAAGTAAACAAGAAATCAATGTTATTACAACTCAAAAAACATAAAGACTGTGAAGAAAGACTATATTTTTTATAAAAACTATTTCTGGAAGATAAGTTTAAGAAGTCTGGTGACAAAACTTAATTTTAAACCTATTAATAAGCAGAAGAAAAACAAATGTTAATATTTATATATGTTCGCCTTTCTACTCATACTACCTTACATGATCCCTTTAGAGGCAATGAGTACAAACTTAAAAGATGCTCCAATATTCACACACACACACACACACACACACACACACACACACACACACTATGCCTTTCCAAATATAAAACTCATAGATTTAGATCTAGAGGGATCTTAGAAGACAATAGGTTAAATACTCTCATTTTACAGATGAGGAAATTGAGGCAAAGTGATTTTAGAGTCATACAACTGCTAACAATCTGAGGCAAGATTTGAGCTCAAGACTTTGTGTCTTCAAATCTAACATTGTACTATATTAATTTGTCTCTAAAATATTCTGAAATAAAAACAAATATTTTAATGTTAAAATTATGTTTTGTGATATTGACAAAACTGTAAATCTATAGTTATCAAGAGTAACAGTGATATTGTTCAGGCAGGCTTTTGATATTTGTTGCTTATTTGCCTTCTTTAATGAATAAAAGTAACTCAGAAATTGTATTAATATATCTATTGATTATGCTAGTTTGCAAATTTCGTAAAAATCAAGACACCAAGCACACATTTATATAAATGGTGAATAAGCCTATTTCTATTTCATACCACTAATAATTTCTCTTGTTTCTTAAACCTTCTTTAGCTAACGGTAAACAGAGCTGTAACTAAAGCAGGACAATCACAGGGCATTAGAATTGAGAGCATGCAGAAACAAAAAAAAAAACAAACAAAAAACAAAAAACCCCCAAAGAATTAATTTAAAATTTTTGTTCAATTTTAGTATATAACACAGTGTCTGACACACAGTCAGCACTTAATAGTTGAAATTCCTGTTGTTGTTGTTGTCATTGTTGTTGTTTTTAAGAATTTCTTGTGTTTTCCCTTTGTCATTGCTTTTACTGCTTTGACAGCATAGGAAGTAGTTAGGGAGAAAAAAAAGTCTCTACCATTTGCTTATAAATGTTGTTTCATGGCATACCCTAATGTTTCAAAAACATTTTCAAATTTTTATTTTTTTTAAAAAATTTGATATTTTGCATCTCATTTTTAAGGTTTTTACTTTTAAGTAAAATTCATTTGTTAATTAAAATTTAGTTATTATGCATTAGTTACTTTAATTTGATTGATGGATAAAATATGTTTTCATTAATAAAAAAGTAAAAGCCCTTCAGCGCACTTCTTAATATAAATGTGTGTGTTTGTTTGCTAGCTACGTGACCATGGATAAATGACCTCCCTGAGTTTCGGTTTCCTCATCTATAAAATTAGGATAATAATAGCTATGATTTTAATGAAGATATCTAGAAGAGAACTTATAGGTCATCTAGTAGAAATCAGATTCAAAAACTGAAGGCCAGAGAACTTAATTGCTTTGCTCCATGTGTAGTAAATACTAGAGCCAGGATATGAAGCTAAATTCAGTTCTCTATACTACACCCCACAAAATTGTTATTATTACTGTAAGATGCTGTAGAACAAAAAAGTTTAGGAAATGTACAAATTATTTCTATTGTGGTTTATTTTTTACAACTCTAAGTCTTTCACATCAAATAATATTACTTTTGGTTTTCTTTCTTTCAGGATTACAATGATGAAATTCGCCAGGAACAATTGCGTGAGTTATCTTATTTGAATGGCTCAGAGGACTCAAGTCGTGGAAGAGGTATTAGAGGAAGAGGAATCCGGGTACCTCCTACGGCTCCTACAAGGTATATTTGTTCATTCTGCAATCAAAAGAGAATTTAAAGACTGACACATACTCACTACATGACTCTGGACAAATCTCTATGACTAAAATTGCAGTCAGTAGTGTAGATTCCAGAGATGCTAGCAACCTGCATCAGGAGAGGGAGTTTCCTGACACAGGGTTTCCCTGTATAAATGAAATCACAAATCCAGTCTCAACCTCCCATCTATACATGCAGTGATGTTCCAATCTGTGTCAGGTTCAGGCTTCCCAATGAGACCTAGAAAAAAGATTCAGAAGTAATAGACTAAGGACACTCTTTGCAACTAGCAGATCACTTTCATCTCCAGGGATTCCACACCATATGGAAAGGTGAAAAAATTATTAAATGCATACTATATGTCAGTAAAAGGGCAGCTAGGTGATGTAGTGAATTAAGCACTGGGCTTGAAATTAGTAGCACTCATCTTCAAGAGCTCAAATCTTGCCTCAGACGCTTATTAGTTGTGTGATCCTGGGCAAGTCACTTAACCCTGCTTTCCTCGGTTTCCTTATCTGTAAAAAGAGCAAGAAAATGAAATGGCAAACCACTCTAGTATCTTTGCCAAGACAATCCCAAATGGAGTCATGAAGAGTTGAACATGACTGGAAAATGACTGAACAACAAATGAGCCAGACACTGGGCTACGCTCTGGGGATATAAAAGCAGGCCTCTATGAACTTGCATTTTACTCAGACATACTAAATATGTCCCCAAACTATGTGTGTCAATTCTGCTGTTGGATTTTTAAGCCCCTATTATGTACCTGGAACTTCAATAGGTATTAGGGGTTCAAAGACAAATAAGAAATAGTTTCTGCCCTCAACGACTTTATATATGGGCAGCGAGGTGGTGCAGTAGAGAGAATGCCAGGCCTGGGGTCAGGAAGACTCCTCTATCCGAGTTCAAATTCAGCCTCAGACTCTTATTAGCTGTGAGATCCTGGCAAGTCACTTAACCCTGTTTGCCTCAGTTCCTTATCTGTAAAATGAGCTGGAGAAGAAAATATCAAACCATTCCAGTATCTTTGCCAAGAAAACCCCAAAAGGGATCATGAAGAGTTGGACATGACTGAAAAATAACTCGGCATTCAACATATGCCAGACACTGTGCTAAGAGCTTTGCAAATATCTCATTTGATCCTCACAGTAATCCTGTCTTACAGATGCTACTATGATCCCCATTTTACAATTGAAGAAACCGAGACAGACAAAGACTAAGTGAATTGCCCAGGTTACACAGCTAATAAGTATCTGAGGCCAGATTCAAACTTAGTTCTTCCTGACTCAAGTCCTAGTACTCTATCCAGTGCACCATATAGCTAGCTAACATAACCACTGGAAATATGAGGGGAAGAATTCTTGCTATGCCATGCCTTATTGTGCTAGGAATGCCAGTTAAGATGTGGTAGTGGGAAGAACATTGAATTTTTTTGTATCTGAAACTGTTACTGAATCAATTTAGACTTAATACATATATTGACAGAAGCAGTTTCAGAAAGCCAGGAGAAATGCTCTTTTCATATATTGTTGCTGAAACCACTTAGAAATTCAGATATATTTCACATTGTAAAGTTATCAGCAATCAAGCAAATACTATTGATATTATAATATTGATATTAAACTACTGTGCTTGGGGGGTGGTATCCTGGTGTTCAGGGAAGAGTAGTACCTCTGTTGTAAGGACTGCCAAGCCCTTTGCATGACTGCTTTCTACTTTTGGTGTCCACTTGCTACCAACTCTCATTTGTGACTGCAAGAACCTGTAGCATGCTCAGTGGCCATATCTCAATAAACCATTCCACCAGATGTGCTCTACCAGCTTGAGGAGAACTGAGGAGCATTAAACCTGTCAGTGAGTTGGTGGTGTCTACCCCAAGCACGTGAAGACTTCCCCTGCTGGAATGCGTAGATGAGAATAATTTGTTCCAATGGCCATGAAGGAAGCTGAAGCAGGCATTGCGGAGCGCTTGGAGCTTGATTAGACATTGAAAAAACCACTACATTCTGGGACATTGCCAGTAGTCTTGACTTTTTTCTTGCCACTGGACTCCAATGACTTGAAGAGGGAGTGAGGCTGACAATTTCATGCAGCTCTGCATCACTTCAATCCAATATATGCATGAGTCAAAATACATCACCAATACTATTTTACAATTTTCACTTACCTCAAAGTCCTGTGTTTGTGGACAAGTAATAAAGCAGCAGATGTGAATACAGTGGGAGTTGTAGTCATTACCCTGAACACAGGTGGCACAGGCCATAGGATTGTCTTCTCACTGGATTGAAGGAGCAATGGGATTTAGCAGTCCCCTGCAAGTTTGAATAGCGTTTTTAAAGGACCACACTGCTTACCTGCTAGCATAAGGAAGGAGTTAGAAAAGGTGCCCTAAAAAGTGTCTGCTTCACCTAAGCAAACCCTGATTTATTTACTGAGGCATGTGAAGGTCCTACTCTGCAGATGAAACACAAAAAAAATGAACAAAAACTTTTGCAAAAATTATTCCACTCACCATTGGTACATGGAATGTTCTCATGCTTATGGACAACACGAAATCCAGTAGATCTGAAAGACAAAAGCTCTTGCTGTGAGAGAACTCAGCAAGTATTGTATTCAAATAGCAGCCCTGAGTGAAAGAAGACTGGCAAATGAAAGTCAGCTTACCAAAGTCAGAGTTGACAGGCTCATGACAATGCAATTACCACTTGGAGGAATGCACCATGCCACCATCATTAGTGTTGATGCTCCCACCCTGACAAACCATGATGAGGTCAAAGAAAGACCTAAAGACCTTCATCATCAGTGTGCCAAAGAGGATAATCTTGTAATTCTGAGTGACTTTAACACCAGAGTTGGTATAGATGATTAGACATGGCAGGGAGTTCTTGGGAGGAATAGTCAGAAACAGCAACAGAAGTGGTTACTTACTACTGAACACTTGTGTATCTCATGACCTTCTCATCACCAGCACTGTCTTTCATTTACCTAAAAGCAATAAAACTCCATGGATGCACTCTCATAGCAAATAATAGCATTTAGTAGACTATGTCACTATAAAAAAGAAGAGACAGGATGTGAGAATAACAAAAATGATGTGTGGTGCAGAGTGCTGGACTGATCATAGGCTTATCCTCTCTAAATTAAATATTCACATTCAACAAAAGCAGTGGCCCTGATGCAAGATGACTACCAGAAGACTTAATGTCAACTGATTAGAGTACTTCTCCCTATATCAATATTTGTTGCTAACTTGGAGAGAAAGATGAGCCAACACCCGGGTGGCAACATTGGAGCAGAAAAACAGCAGGCAGCTCACAAAGATTTGGTATACAGCATTGCATTTACTCTTCTGTGTCAGGACACTCACAAACATCAGGACTGATTTGACAAAAATGACAAGTGAAGTTCAGAAACTGTTAAAATGAAAAACAAGAATTCCACAGGACTTACCAAGCAGGATAGTTTATCTGTCTCTAAAAAGTCAGCATTTAACTCCATCAAAAATAAAGTGAAAGTTAAACTTGGAGAGATGTAGGACTCTTGGCTCAATAAAAAGGCAGATGTAATTCTGCCTTTATGTTTTATGTTGACAGTAACAATACAAAGCACTTTGTGATGCCCTAAAGGCTGTTTGTAGGTCAAGGACCTATACTACATCTCAAGTACTCAGCACTGATGGAGCCACATTGATTAGTGATAAAGGCATGATCCTGGAAAGATGGGCTGAATACTTCCATGGCATTCTCAAAAAACCAATGCTGAAGCCACTAACCATATACCTCAAGTCAAAGTCAGTTTTGAATGCAATTAGGCTAATCTTGTATGGAAAGTACCTGATTCTATTCTGACTGATATTTACAAGGCAGAGGACTCATTGCTCATACAAAAGCTAATTGAAATCTGGATTTTATGGCAAGAGGAGGCTATCCCCCAGGAGTTGAAGAATGTCTCTGCTGTCCATTGAAAATCACAGGAGTGTCTCTCTTTTATTCATTGCTGGCAAGATTCTTGCCAGAGTTCTCTTAACAGGCTAATTCTTCGCCTGGAAGATGGTCCTCTACCCAAAAGCCTGTGTGGCTTCATAAAGGAACAATCGATGTGGTGTTTGTTGCCTGACAACTCCAGGAAAAATGCCAGTAGTAGAAGATAGGTCTGTATGCAATGTTTTTTTGATCTGACCAAGGGCTTTGATACTGTCAGTTATGAGGTGTTGGGGAAGATCATGGCCAAATTTGGTTGTCCAGAGAAGTTCGTCAATATTGTACACCAGTTTCAACACAGTGTTCTTGCACAAACTCTGGATAATGGATGATGTTCCTGCACTTTACTAGTCATCAATGGAGTGAAGCAGGGATGTGTGCTTACTCCCATTCTTTTTAGCACGATGTTTTCAATGATGTTGTCAGACACTTTCAATGAAGACAAAAATGGCATCAAGGTCAGCTACCACAGTGATGGTAACTTATTTAATTTGAGAAGGCGACAAGCCAAGATAAAGATGTACAAAGAGTTGATGAATGACTTATTATTCACAAATGATTGTGCACTCAGTGCAGCCTCTGAGTATGGATTAATTCTCTGCCACTTGTGTTAATTTTGGGCTGAAAATCAATGCCAAGAAAACAAAAGTTCTCCACCAGCCAGCACTGCACCATCCATATATAGAGCCATAAGTTACAGCAAATAGAGAATTTCTGAATTCTGTGGATAAGTTCACTTACATTGGCAGTATACTTTTCAGGGTTGTATACATAGATGATGAGGTTGATGCGTACATTGCGAGAGCTAGCTCAGTGTTTGGAAGTCTCCAAAGGAAATTGTGGGAGAAAAGAAGTATTTCTGCTTCTATGCTTTACTGCTTAGAAACAGAATGTGAATTTTTTCAATACTGTACTTTTGTGGCTCATTGAAAATGTTAAATCAGCATACGAAATGCATATCACTATGTCACTGATGCTCTTTAATGTAAATAGCAAGTACGG